AGGAAGGAAGGAAGGAAGGAAGGAAGGAAGGAAGGAAGGAAGGAAGGGGAAAGCAATAGGAATAGCAGTTAGAGTTATATACTGCTTCACAGTTCTTTACAGCCCTCTCTAAACAATCCGGGTCCTCGTTTTACCCACCTTGGAAGGCTGAGTTAACCTTGAGCTTGGTGGGATTCAGTCTGCCAAATTGCAGGCAGCCAGCAGTCAGCAGAAGTAGTTTGCAGTACTGCACTCTGACCACTGCATCACCGAGGCTCTTTAGACGCTCCGGTTAGAAATAAAACACAGATGTTTTTGTATTTCTTACTTAGGAAAACAGATCAGCCGCAGCCAGTGAACCCACCACGGCATTCACTGTGAAAATGCGGGGCGCCCCATTCAATGTCACGGAGGTAAGCTACTTTTCTAACCCATCTAAGTCCTGTGTGCCAAAGGGAAAAAAAAACCTCATGCTTCTTGGAGGATATTAAACCTGGATCGCTGTTCCATGCCAGCCTTTCAAAAATAGATCCGAGTAGGAATCCAGTGTCGAATAGATCATTATATTATGCCCCTGTCGGAGTCTGAATCCGAGGAGGAAGACGAACAGCTGACAGGGAGTGGGAGTGGGGCTCCATTGGCTGTGGAGGAAATTGGGGAAGGGCAAAGTCCGGCTGGGCAGAGCAGAGGAGAAATAGAACAAGGGAGAGGGAATTCAGAGGAAGACTTAGGTCCACGCCCTCTTCATCCTAGGGCACGCAGGGAGGAACGGAGAAGAGAGCAACATGGATTGCATGGCTTACGGGGGAGGAAAGGGCCCTGATTCCCTTCATTAGCCACACCTGGGAATGAGAGTTTAAAAGAGATGCATGCTGAGTTTAGGTTTGACTGGGACGAACCTGGCCTGAAGTGCCTTATTTATTGCCAACGTTGTGTAGCCAACTACAATTAATATCTGAAATCAGTGACCTGCTTATTCAAACCATGTTTAGGAAAATTAAGTCCTGACTCAGGAGGACGTTCAGTGAAACCAGCTGTCATGCCTCTGGTGGAGATTGACTCTGAGGAAGAGGAGGAACAGCCAACAGGGAGTGAAAGTCTGGCTCCAGAGGTTGTGGAGGAGGCTGGGGAAGGGCAGAGGCCGGCTGAGCAATCAGAGGAGGATCCAGGCCCGTCCCCTATCCATCCTAGGTCACGCAGGGAGGAGAGGATCAGGGAAAAGCGAGGTCTACTCGAGGAGATTCCCATGATCCTCCTCGTGGCTTGCAGCTGGGAGCTATGTATATAAGTTCGTAACTGCATAGTCAGAATTGCTGGAGTCAAAGTTTAGAGTTTTCTTTGAAAGAGGTTTATCTTTGCCGGCGTTCTTCCCATGGACTCTCCTCGGTTATTTTCCTGGAGTTTATGATGAGTTATCTTGGTTTCCTTCGGAACTCTCGTCAATGCGGTTTGTTTTGGTTTTCTTTTTGCCTCATTATTTACTTTTGTGACTTTAAACTGTGCCTAATAAAACAGTGAAGTTAAGTTGAAGGCCTTACCGGACTTTAATGTATGTTTTGGGTTTGGGGTTATTTTGAGAGACTCCGGGGTCATCACACCGACTTGCCTTCAGAAGTTGTGGGTGCTCCCATCACTGGAGGTTTCTTAGAAGAGATCGGACAACCCTTTGTCGGGGATAGTCTGGGAGGTCTCCTGCTTGTGCAATGTGTTGGATTAGAAGACCTCCAAGGTCCCTTCCAACCGCATCATTCTATGTTCTAAACCAGAGTTTTGCATCATGTGCAAACCAAGCACAATATTGAAGGACTTTCTTGAAGGTCACGGCGTCGTGAGCAGAGATCTAGATTGGCTCTAGAATTAATCACCTTTTTCATGCTTTTATGGATGCAGCAAAACGTGAAAGAGTTTTTTGTGCCACTTCGGCCGCTGGCAATCCGGATTGCAAGGAACGCACATGGGAACAAGACAGGTAATATTTGGTATTTTGTATTTTATGCTCTTCGATAGACTGTTGCTTACCTTTTGTTTGTTAACGAGTGCTTTGCACAGGTGATATATCTATCACCCTGCATTGTTTATCCTATTTGCTCATTAACCTCCAGCAAAGCCAAAAAAGAGAGGATTCTATGGTGGAACATCCAAAAACAGGAAATCTACCACAGGTAGAATCCTTAAAGGGAGTGCGCTAACACTGGAGCATTGCAATGCATGTGGTGGTCTTTGTTTAAAATCCTTTGGAGCGGTGTTTTTCAAACTTGGTAACTTTTAAGATATATGGATATCAAATCCCAGAATTCCCCTGCCCATTGTACTTATTCTGGGATTCTGAATAAAATAGCAGCTTTATTATTTAGCATTGTTGCACATTTAATATTACCTTCCTATAGCTTCCTATACAATTCCATCTTAAAGTAAGTTACAGTTTTATGCTTCTTTGCCTTCTTTCCTTTCCTTTCCTTTCCTTTCCTTTTCTCCTTCCTTCCTTCCTTCCTTCCTTCCTTCCTTCCTTCCTTCCTTCCTTCCTTCCTTCCTTCCTTCCTTCCTTCCTGTTAAGGTTACGTATTTGTCGATTTTAACACTGAGGAAGAACAACAGAAAGCCCTAAAGAGGGATCGAGAATACATGGGTGAGTCTCCTGTTATTTTGTTTGCTTGTTTTAACTAGGGAAAAAATCGTGACTTTCCCCCCCATTTTTCTTCATGTACAAAGACAGTGGAGGTGTTGTCATTTTAAGCCCCCGTTTTAAAACATAACACGCAAAACCAACAAGACAGACACAGACTTCAGAGAGTAATTAGTAATTTTGAATACACTGTATTCAAAATGTTTATGAATAAAAAAAAACATATACAAAAATAAGTGCGGATACTTGGCAACTGACTCGTATTTATGACGGCTGCAGTGTCCCGGGGCTCATGGGATCTCCTTTTATGACCTACGAACAAGCCAAGTCAATGGGGGAAGCCAGATTCCCTTAGCAACGGTGTCACTCACTTAACAGCCGCAGGGATTCACGTAACCACGGTGGGAAGGAAGGTCGTGAAATGGGGCGAAACTCACTTCCAGGTCTCACTTAGCAACAGCAATTTGGGGGCTCAGTTGTCCTAAGTCGAGGACTTACCTATATTCTGCACTTCGCCTGGCAGGCGGTCGGTACATTGAGCTGTTTCCAGAAGAGAGGGGCACTAAGGGGAAGCCCTCCGAGAAGGGATCTGGCCAGATCTGGCAGAGGACCAAGAAAGACGACGAGGAAGAAGAAGATCTGTCAGAATCCGGAAGGCTTTTCGTGCGGAACCTTCCTTACACCTGCACGGAAGAAGAAATGGAGGCCCTCTTCTCCAAATACGGTAGATGGTCGTGCTATTTTGTGGGCCCTGGAAAATTTTCTTTTCCAAAACCGTTGTTCCTCGAAAAGAGGGAAGATCCTCATAAGATTTCAACATAGCTTAACCATTTTGGACCATGGTGCTCCTTGGGGGAGGATTTTATTACCAATCCAAGTGACATCAGTGCTAGTAAAGAGTGAGGTCTGCCCTAGTGTATAAAATGAGGGCAAATCCCACTCTCATCTAGCACTGACGATGTTATCTAGTTGGGTAATGAAATGTCTTCACAAAAACAACCAAGCTCAGAGAGCATCAAGGACTCCATAGTCCTCCTCCTCCTCCTCCTCCTCCTCCTCCTCCTCCTCCTCCTCTTCCTCCTCCTCCCTGCAATCCCCCCTCTTTACTAGTACCAATGATGTTATCCAGTTTGGGTAATGTAATGTCTGCAAGAAAGCCACCAAGCTCAGAGAACATCAAGGACCCCACAGTCATCCTTTTTTTTCCTCCTCCTCCTCCTCTTCCTCCTCCCCCCCGCAACCTCATTCCCTTCTAGCATTAATGACATCACCTAGTTAGATAATGAAACAACAGCAAGAAAACAACCAACTGTTCTATCGAAACTATTGTGATATTCTAACGCTGCCTTCCTCCCAAGTAGATCTTCTCCCGCAGCCTTTTTCCAAATGAATCTGTTATTCTACAGGGCCTCTCTCCGAGATCCACTTTCCTATTGACAGTCTAACCAAGAGGCCCAAAGGCTTCGCGTTTGTCACCTACATGTTTCCTGAGCATGCCGTGAAGGCCTTCGCAGAAGTGGACGGACAGGTTTTCCAGGTACCAATTGATTGGTGGATGGTCTCTATGCCACAGATCTTAGAGGGTTTGCCCCCAGGGAGTGGGAGTTAGTCAAAGGATGATCTGAGCAGCTAAAGATTCTTTCTTGGGTTTCCCATATATATTGAAAACTTGTTTTGGGGCTCCACTGAGTGATTCGTGTTAAATGCTTATATTATAATAATACTTTTCTTAATGGGATGAGGACTAGATTCAACTTACACGTAGTAGTTTTTGTGGGTGACAGAAGGTGAAGATAGCGCCTCCATCATAGTTCCCAGAGGATATGTGTTATGGTGCTTTGATTTGGCAAGATTCGGTCTATAGGTAAGGAGCAATAAAGAAAACTGCTTAGAAGAACCTCAGCGTGTCTTTCTTAGGTTTTGGAGCCTGACAGTTGCAGAGATTTCCCAAGATTTAGGGATCCAGGATAACTTTGGGCATTTCCACTTGTTCCATTTCCAGGTTCGGTAGTTCAGATTTTCATTTTGTCTCTTAGGGCCGAATGTTGCACGTGTTGCCTTCAACCATCAAGAAGGAAGAAGCGGAGAGCTCAGCTTCTGCAGGGTCATCTTCGTACAAGAAGCAAAAGGCCTCAAAAGACAAAGCAAACAGCCTGAGGTTTGTGCTTTCACAAGTTGTCTTCCTCTCTCTCTTTTCGTTGTTTGTAGCAAGCGTTTTCATATATTAGAAAATAAAATCAGTAAGAAGTGAGGAAAAAATATGCTGTAAAAGAGTAAGAAAAGGAAAGAAAAAAACTAAAGAAATAGTTAAAGGACTTCTTATCTTACTTTTCAACGGTTAATTACAATCTTATCGTCCGACCCTCCTCTCTTTAAAATGTTTTGCAAATCTCCTGGCCTCCGCATTTAATGATTTACCTTCAGTGTTATGTAATCATTTAACTGTGATAATATTATATAGGGTGGTATTTACTGGAAAGGGGTGTCTCCTTTCTCTCACACTGCGGTCTGAGTGTCAAAGGGGAACGATATTGCAATATCTCTTTCTCTCTCTCTCTCTCTCTCTCCCTCCCTCCCTCCCTCCCTCCCTCCATATATATATGTGTGTGTGTGTTTTCTTAAGTTTTTGTGGGTATTTATATGCATGGTATTCAGCTTTGTTCAGGTATTTTCCCACGTCGTTATAGTGTGCTTTTAAAGTTGTGCTTTTCCAAATTTAAAACAGAAATGGCTGTGAAAGTCTGACTCACAGGCGAACACTATACAGAAGCCTGATGATGACAGATGAGATTCTGCCAAAACGTTGCTACAACTTTAAAAGCACAACTATAATGACGTGGGAAAATACCCAAACAAAGCTGAATACCATACATGTAAGTACCCATGAAAACTTAAGAAAACATATATATATTTGTTTTCGTAGATTTTCACGGGTACAGGTATGTAGGTCTAGGTGTGTTCGGGTCTTTTCCCGTGTAAGATTAAGAGTATTTTGGTGACGTTTCAGTGAGATCCCACTTGCCATCCTCAGGCTGGTGCTTTCGGCTTCGTGCCAGTGCAAGCAGTGCCACTGCTTTTTTTATTTATAGATAGATAGATAGATAGATAGATAAGATAGATAGATAGATAGATAGATAGATAGATAGATAGATAGATAGATAGATAGATAGATAGATAGACAGACACACACACACACACACACACACACACACACACACACACTCACTTATATACAGCCTGTTATGGATTTCTGATTATCACAGTCGGTTGTTTTATTTTTGGTAGAGTCTCACAAGATCCATAAATCATCAGTTCCTTTTTGATGATTCATTCAGCAAAAAGCCCATGTAAGGTTTCCAGTCTTTTGAAGATTTGTGCTTGTCAGAGAATTATAGGTAAAGCTTCCCTTCGCACATAATACGTGCTAGTCGTTTCCGGCTCTAGGGGTCACTCCTTATCTCCGCTACAAAGCCGAAGAGCCAACATTGTCCGAAGACGTCTCCGTGGTCACGTGGCCAGCATGACTAAATGTTGAAGGTGCACGGAACGCTGTTCCCTTCCCCTAAAAGTGGTCCCTATTTTTCTACTTGCATTTTTTACATGGTTTCGAACTGCTAGGTTGGCAGAAGCTGGGACAAGGAACGGGAGCTCACTCCGTGACACGGTGCTGGGGATTCGAACCGCCAAACTGCTGACCTTTCTGATCGACAAGCTCAGCGTCCCATCCCCAGAGAATGATAAACAAGAACAAAATCTGGGAAGAATGGAAACCTTACGTGGACTTTTTGCTGAACCAAGACAAATATTGCCGCCTTGGTTCTCGGACCGAACAGAAGGTTTTAGCCATTTCTGCAAATTGTGACACGTTTGCAATCCTTTCCTCCACTTTGGGAACGTTATTCTTCCAGTCCTGCCAAACAGCGGAACTCACAATGTTTGTCTTCCCGCCAGCTCTCACAACTGGAACACCCTCTTCATGGGAACGAATGCCGTGGCCGACGCTGTTGCGCACAAATACAACGCTACCAAGAGTCAAGTGCTGGATCACGTGAGAGTTGTTTTTTTTTTTTGTCATGGTTTGTTTGTTTTGAAGTGTAGGTTCTGCCCTTCGAGGAGAATCTTCGGCCAAAAATTTAGGCCTAACATTTTTTGTTGTTGTTGTTTCCCCTAATTCAGTATTTTTCAAACTTGGCAACTTTAGGATGTAATTACCTGGAAAATGATAGGTTTTCCCATGGACAAGTTTTCCCATGGACTTCGTCAGAAGGTCGCAAAAGTGAATCATGTGACCCTGGGACACTGCAGCCGTCATAAATATGAGTCAATTGCCAACTAAACTCATAGAGCACCAAGGACTCCTCATTTCAACCTTCAGCTACGAATTGTTGGCTGGAATGATGTATAATAGCTTTGTTCCTCATATCCCTCCATCCCATCTAACAGGTGTTTGGTTGTTCACATGACTCTTGAGAACTTAACAGAGTTGGAACAGACCTTACAGGTCATCTAGCCCAACTCTCCACCCAAGCAAGAGACCCTACACCATTTCTGATAGATGGCAGTCCAGTCTCTTCTTGAAAGCTTCCAGTGATGAAGCTCCCACAACTTCCGAGGGCAACTTCTGTTCCGTGGGTTGATTGTTCTCCCTGTCAGAAGGTTTCTCATTATTTCCAGGTTGAATCTCTCCTTGTTCAGTTTCCATCCATTGTTCCTTGTCTGGCCTTCGGGTGCCTTGGAGAATAGCTTGACCCCCTCCTCCTCTCTGTGGCAGCCCCTCAAATATTGGAAGGCTGCTCTCCTGTCTCCCCTGGTCCTTCTCTCCACTAGACTAGCCAGGCCCACTTTTATGTTTTAGCCTCCAGTCCCCTAATCATCTCGGTTGCTCTTCTCTGCACTCTTTTCTAGAATCTCAACTTCTTTTTTATAGTGCGTTGACCAACACTGGACGCCTCTTACTTCCTTTTTCTCTTGGCAGGAGGGCAAGGGCAGCGTGGCTGTGCGGGTGGCACTTGGCGAAACGGAGCTGGTTCAAAATGTGCGCCGGTTCCTGCTTGATCATGGAGTCAGCCTGGATTCCTTCAGCCAGGTAAGGGCTATAGCGGCTGTTCGAAACCCCCCCCGTTCCTTCTCACTAAATCTGCGACGTCACAAAAAAGCGGTTGAAGCCGTCAGAAAAGAGAATTCGATTGAGCATCTTTTTTGTTCAGACATTCCTGTGTCTCCAAAGCTCCTTAGCTGTTGAAAGCGAGCTGCTCAGCTTTCTGCATCTACGTGAAAAAAAAAAAGAAATAAATGGATTTGTGATTTATGGTTTTGTTGATTAGAACAAATAGATTAGGGGGAGAAAAGAAATAGGATGTACTGTAGCTTTAGAGAGAGGTTAAAATATAATAAAATGCCTATGTGCCTGTATCTGCTGTGAAGAATATCGAAAGGGACTTTCTTTCCTTTCTATTTTTTTCTTTTTGCCATCTTGTTTTCTTTCACCTTTTTTCTTTTTCTCTGGTTTCTTTTTCTGCCGTGAGCTTCTCATGGAAGAAAGGAAGGATGGAAGGAAGGAGGGAGAAAGGAAGAAAGAAAGAAAGAAGGGGGGGAGGGAGGAAGAAAGGGGAGGGAGGGAGGTTCTCTCATTTTCTCACTCTCTATGTGCAGGGAAGAGTTCCCAACGGAGACATGGTCAAATCAGCAAACTTTTTTCCCCCTTGAGCTGTAAAACCCTTTCAGGCCGATCGAAGGGCTCGGCTCTCAAATAAACGGTTAGCGTTGCAATGCAGCCTCTCATTCCTTTCTTCCAGGCGGCCGGAGAACGGAGCAAGGCGGTGATTTTGGTGAAGAACCTGCCTGCTGGCACGAAGGCGAAGGAGCTGGAGGAGGTCTTTGGGCCTTTTGGTAGCCTCGGCCGGGTGCTGCTCCCCGAAGGAGGGGTGACAGCCATCGTGGAGTTCCTGGAACCCACTGAAGCCAAAAAGGCATTCACCAAATTGGCCTACTCCAAGGTAGGCAGGCCTCCAGTTGTGGCAGATTCTGTTCTGTTCTGTTCTATTCTATCCTATCCTATCCTATCCTATCCCATCCCATCCCAACCCAACCCAACCCAACCCAACTCTTCCCAACTCTTTCATTCCCATCCCATATTTTCTGTTCTATTCTATTTTATTCTTTCCTATTCTATTCCTATTCTATTCCATTCCATATTTCCTATTCTATTCTTATTCTAATTCTATTCTATTATTTCCTATTCTTATTCCATTCCATTCTATTCCATATTTCCTATACTATTATTCTTATTCTTATTTTTATTCTATTCTATTCTATTCTGTTCTGTTCCGTTCCACTCCACTCCACTCCACTCCACTCCACTCCACTCCATTCCACTCCACTCCACTCTATTCTTTCCTGTTCTATTCTTATTCCATTCCATATTACCTATTCCTATTCCAATTCTAATTCTAATTCTAATTCTATTCTATTCTTATCCCAGTGTTTCTCGACCATGGCAGCTTGGAGACGTGTAGACTTCAACTCCCAGAATTCCACAGCCTGCTTGGGAATTCTGGGAGTTGAGATCCACACGTCTTCAAGCTGCCACGATTGAGAAACACCGTCCTACCTACTATTCAGTATTAATTGGCGTCCTGCCTTAAACAAACCTTGGGTTTTTTTTTTTAATCCTTGCACTGATTTGTATTAATATTTTTCCCCCTTCCTCATTTTAACTTCTTTGCACTGATTTCCTTCTTCCTTGCTCAGTTCCAGCATATCCCTCTCTACCTCGAATGGGCACCCATGGGGGTGTTTTCTGGTCCCGGGACAAAAATGTCGGAGGTTGAAGAGCAAAAGGAAAGTGAGGAACAAACCCAGAAAGGTATGTTTGGAGGTTTGTGGCAGTTGAGTAGAATTGCTTCCATATTATAGAAGAGAATAGAATTCTTTTATTGGCCAAGTGTGATTGGGCACACAAGGAATTTGTCTTTGGTACGTTTGCTCTCAGTGTACATAAAGAAAAAAATAAAATACATTCACCAAGAATCATAACATACAACATTTAGTGATAGTCACAGGTTACTGATAAGCAATTAAATCATACCAGAGAACAAAACAATACAAATTGTAAAGATACAAGCAAGATACGGGATACTTTCAGACTTAAAAGATTCTTTTAATGTATCTTTACAAGGGAGATCGGGGATCCTCAAACTACGGACACAGCCCGCTGAAGCCATTAATCCGGCCCATGTGGGACCATGAAGCTGCCCCGCCCACATCGCCCCACCTATCCGTCGTCCTCCACCCACCTCTGGAGGCTGAGGAGGCCAAAAACTGGATGTGTGGAGGCCTCAATTGGCCCAAAATGGGCCCATTTTTTGGCCTCCAGAGAGAGTGGGGGGAGGAAGGGAGAGAAAGACACACACACACAAACCCCCCCCCCCCCAGAAGTCCCTTATACACACCCCAAGTCAACCACATCCCTTCACTAACTTACTTTCCACCCCCCCAGGAGCGTAACAAATTAAAGTTTAATTTGTATTATTTAATGGACTGCTAAATTGACCACACCTACCCAGTCACATGACCCCCTAGCCATGCCCACCCAGCCGGTCCGGCCCCCCAACAGTCTACAGGACCGTGAATTGGCCCCCCCTGTTTAAAAAGTTTGAGGACACCTTCCTTAGATTCACTCATATTTCCTTCTCTTGCAGGGATTTTTGGAAAAAGTGATGCTCTGAAGGAAATGAAGGAGGAGGAGGAAGAAGAAGAAGAAGAAGAAGAAAAAGAAGAAGAAAGTCTTCCAGGCTGTACCATTTTCATAAAAAACCTCAACTTCAGCACTACAGAAGATACACTAAAAGAGGTGATTTTCAGGGATTTCGTGGCTATGTAATGGCCTGCGGGAAAGACTTTGGGAGACGGAGTGAAGAGAGGCTGCCGAGAGAATGGTCAGATGAGAGAGGGCATGGCCCACAGCGGGTAGCGGGAGAAACCCTCCCTAGTTTCTCAAACGGTAAAAGTGGTAGGGGGAGAATTGTACTTTCAGACTTGGAAGATTCTGTCAGTGCAGCTTGACAATAAAGTGGAATTAGCTCCTCTGGTTTTGATTCCTATCTGGTTTGCCCAGTGAGGCAGACAAAGTCACACGTTCTGATTTCGTATCCAATTATTTTGGGGGCCTTCCCTTCCCTACTCTTTCCTTCCTTCCTTCCTTCCTTCCTTCCTTCCTTCCTTCCTTCCTTCCTCCCACCCACCAGCTCCTCCATTTTCCTTTCTTCTTACCTTCTGTCCTCCATCTCCATCTCTATTTTCCTCCATCTCTATCTCCATCTCTATTTTCCTTCCTTCCTCCATCTCTATTTTCCTCCCTCCCTCTATTTTCCTTCCTTCATCTCTATCTCCATCTCTTATTTTCCTTCCTTCCTTCCTTCCTTCCTTCCTTCCTCCCTTCCTTCCTTCCTTCCTTCCTCCATCTCTATCTCCATCTCTATTTTTCTTCCTTCCTTCTTTCCTCCATCTCTATTTTCCTCCTTCCCTCCCTCCATCTCTATCTCCATCTCTATTTTCCTTCCTTCCTTCCTTCCTTCCTTCCTTCCTTCCTTCCTTCCTTCCTCCATCTCTATTTTCCTCCTTCCCTCCCTCCATCTCTATCTCCATCTCTATTTTCCTTCCTTCCTTCTTTCCTCCATCTCTGTTTTCCTTCCTCCCTCCCTCCCTTCCTTCCGTGTGTTTCACCACAATCTTAGAAGCATCGTCACCCTTCCTCTTGAATTAAATTTGGGAAACTCCCCTTGAGGCAGTCAAGTAATCCACATTACGGAATCTGCTTCGTGCTTCATGGCGATCCATATTCCGCCTTCCTGGCTTAGCACGGAGCACAAACTCAGGCTGCGAGTTTGCTAGTGTAAACTTTGGATGTCGCACAGCATCTCCACCCCCCCCACCCCCCCACCCCCTTTCTCTCCCTTTGTCCTTCCTGTCTGGGAGAAAAGCAGAGGAGGTGGCACAATACAAGAGAATAAAACTTAAAAGTATGCTGCTATTTTCTTCTTTTCCAGGTTTTTTCCAAAGCTGGTGTTGTACGGAGTTGCACCGTCTCGAAGAAGAAAGATAAAACTGGTATGCGTTTTTCTGATTTTTTTGCCCTTGGAGTTCTTTTGTACCACAGGGGTGTTTGACTTTAATTCCCATAATCCACAGTTGATTAGTCCTCGACTTACAACCATTTATTTAGTGACTGTTCAAAGTTACCTGAAAAGGGTGATTTACAACCGATTTTTGCGCTTAAGACCGTCGTAACTTCCTCGCGGTCAAAGGGAGCAAAATGCAAGCACTTGGCGACTTTCAAGGCTGAAGGTCCCTGAGCTAGAGAAGGAACAGGGAATTATTTTAGCATTAATCAACTTCTGATCATCCTCTGGTGTTCTTTTTAGGCAACCTTCTCTCCATGGGGTTTGGATTTGTGGAGTACAAGAAGCCGGAATACGCTCAGAAAGCTGTCAAGCAACTACAGGTAACAGTGCCTAGCGATCTATGGGAATGGCCCATAGTCATGTGGTCAACATAATTATACGTTGAGGTGAATGGAACGCTGTTACCTTCCCACCAAAATGGTACCTATTTATCTAGTCGCATTTGCGTGATTTCGAACTGCTAGGCTGGCAGGAGCTGGAGCCAGGAACGGGAGCTCCTCCTGTCAATCAGTGCTCGGGTCTCGAATCCAAGCTGGCCAATATAACTATACATTGAGGTGCATGGAACGCTGTTACCTTCCCACCAAAGTGGTACCTATTTATCTAGTCGCATTTGCGTGCTTTTGAACTGCTAGGGTGGCAGGAGGTGGAACAAAGAACGGGAGCTCCTCCTGTCAATCAGTGCTCGGGTTTCCAACTCAGTCTGTCAGGTCTGCAGCTGACAAGCTCAGTGTCTAACCACTGAGCCATCACGCTCCTACCCCCTTGCTCTGCTTAGGCATATACCTGGTTCACATTCTTGGTTCACTTTGTCTTTCTGTGCCTTCCAAGGTTTCTCCACGATGGACTCTGAATAATGGACTGAAATAGAGTTTGTGGATGACCTCTTCCACCTTGGAATATTATTTAGCGCAGTAAACATTGATTTACGATCTCCAGCTCTCTGCCTTCTTCGCTCTCCTTTCGTTCTGAGCTGGCAAAGACCAGCCTTCCTGAACTCGGTGTCCTCCAACTGTGATGGATTTAAGAGTCATCGGCCACCAATGAATGGAGAGACCTCCCAGCGGAGGGAGATTGATTTGTCGGGCCCAACACGCTCCCACATTGGTTCTAGTTGATGAGTCACACAACTGACCTTTTTGTTTAGCAACCTATCTTGAAAAGGTTGGGCTGAAATCCTGCTCCCTAATGAATTAGCCCCGCTTTCGATCGAGGTATCCGGAGACCCGCTTCTCTGGTTGGTTCATTGGGTTGCAACGTTTTGCAATCTGCTTTCTTTCAGGGTTGCTCCGTGGACGGCCATCAGCTGGAAGTGAAAATCTCCGAAAGAGCCATCAAGTAAGTTTGAGAAGGGAAGTCACTTGTGGTCCTTCTCCGGTCTGGAGAAACTCACTCCAAGCATTTTCTGCAGCGTGTAAAACGTGACCCTGGCATCTGAGTTGGATAACAAGTTCTAGCAAGACTTTGTCAGGCGTGAAAGTGGGCATTTTGCTCTCAAGATGGCTTGCTGGGAAGTGGGGAAGACCTTGGGAGACTGGGTGGAGAGATGCTTGCCGAGAGAACAATCCGATAAAGGACAGCTTAGCCCTTAGCTAGAGTGTGGGTAAGGGAAAAGGCTCAGAAGGGATCCTCCCTAGTTTCTTGGGCTGTAAAGCACCTGTGAGTATGTGAATCTTGCAAGTAGAATTTTCCTCCCCTTTAGAGTCCAAGAAACTAGGGGGGGTCTCTTCTATCCATTTGCAGGCTGGGCTGCTTCTTATCTGACCATTCCCCAGACTATGATGGCAATTGGTCCCTGGTGTTAGTCTTGTGTTAGTGTTGTGGCCTGTCGGCCGCCGGCCCCTCGCATCAACCAAATCAGAACAGGAGGAGGCATGGGAGTCAGGATTAGCATCCAGGCAACTGGGAGCTCCGAGGGGGAAGAGGGAATGGAGTTAGGAGAGAGAGAGAGAGAGAGAGGCGGAGTCTGGGCCGTCCGTCAGCCCTCAGATGGAGAGTCAACAGCCCCCAGATCTGGAGGTGGCTGATGAGGAAGTGGAGGAACAGCTGGGATCAATGCCTGAGGTGTGGATGCACAGAAGGCAGAGGAGAGGAGAGCAGTGGAAATCTATGGGCCGGTCCTTGGGAACGGAAGAGCCACCGCTGCTAGCAAAGCCCCACCCTAGCTCTGGGGGTAAAAGTCAGGGGGCGGAGATGAATAGAAGTGGCAGACAACTGTTCATCTCCCAGCCAGACGGACTTGTTAGCCTGCGAGATAATTTTTTTTTGCTGGGGCTGCCGTCGCTCCTAATAAAGGAATCTTTTGATGTTTTCTCGTGTTTGGGGAACTGGGTCAGATCAGTTGGATGGATGGTTTGGCTTCTTTTGCAACCCTCAATAGACCCCGGAGGTCCCCTTAAGCTAAAATGCCAACGGACCTGGCTTCAAACCTCATGCTTGACCCAAGAGAGCATTGCACAGGGCACTGATGCCCGTCTCTTTTGGATCCCCAGGTCCACAGGGACGACCGCCCGTAAGAAGCAAGTCAGCAAGAAGCAAGTGAATTCCAAGATTTTGGTGCGGAATATCCCCTTCCAGGCCACGGTGAAAGAGATCCGGGAACTTTTCAGGTAAGGAAGAAGGCTGCCCTTCGTATCCAGAGAAATGGGTGCTGTGAGGTCTCTGGTGCGCTCTGAGCTTGGTTATTTTATTACCCAACTGGCTAACATCATCCTGGCTAATTAATGCTGAAGATGTTACCTAGTTGGCTAATGAAATGTCTGCAGAAAACCCACCAAGCTCAGAGAATACTGTGAAATCCACAGTTCAATCCTCAGCTATAAATATTTTCTTGTGTTAGTCTGTGGAGTCCTTGGTGCTCCCTCTCCTCTTTTCTTCCTTCCTTCCTTCCTTCCTTCCTTCCTTCCTTCCTTCCTTCCTTCCTTCCTTCCTTCCTTCCTTCCTTCCTTCCTCCCTCCCTCCCTCCCTCCCTCCCTCCCTCCCTTTGGTTGTTTGCTTGCAATGTTTTTCAGGAGTAAACCCACCCTTCCTTCCACTGATGATGTTACCTAGTCAGTTAATGAATTGTCTGCAAGAAAACCCAGGGCCCCATATTCCTCCTCCTCCTCCTCCTCCTCCTCCTCCTCCTCCTCCTCCTCCTCCTCCTCCTCCTCCTCCCTCCAAACCCCATTTCCTTCTAGCCCTGATGAAGTTTCCTACTTGGGCACCAAATCGTCTGCAAGAAAACCACCCAAGCTCCGAGACTTGCACCAAGGATTCCCACAGTTTAACTACAAATATGTTGATTAAGTTGGGCGCATATCAACGGCTAGAATTCTGGCCATTGGAAGTCCACCCATCTTAAGAGTTTGCCAAAATTTAAAACAAAACAAAACACTGCTTTAGAGCATCAAGTTACATAGATCCTATCAGTGGTGGAATTCAAACTTTTTTTACTACCGGTTCTGTGGGCATGGCTTGGTGGACGTAGCAGGGGAAGGATCCTGCAAAATCTCCATTCCCACTCCACTCCAGGAGGAAGGTTGTTGCAAAATCCCCATTCCCTCCCCACCCCACTAACCTGCTTTCCAGCCCCATTTTCCTGGGCAGGGCAACCAAGCGATCAGCTGGGATTCAATGGGAGGCAGAAAAGAGATGGGGTTGGCAGGGCCAGTCAGAGGTGGAATTTGCTGGTTCTTCTGAACTCTACTCCAAATTTCCACTACTGGTTCTCCAGAACCAGTCCAAACCGGCTGAATAACCACCTCGGCATCCTATTAAACCTACTTAATAACCCTGAAAAAAAAAATGGGTTGGGATGCCAGCGTTTTCTCCTGCGGGGTCTGCAGGGGGCGCTCCCGAGCTTCGCAAGGGAGGGAGGTGAGCCAGCGGGGGCTGACTTAAACCTAATAGAAGCTCTTGGCTAGAAATTGGTAGATACTTGAACAGATTAAAACGTCCAGTTGGGAGCTGAGCAGGAGAAGTAGAAATAACCGAAAGAATAAAATAAAAATTGCCTGCTGTGAGGCTGCTCGCGGTTTAATATTCAAATGCAGGAGTGTTTTCCCTTCCGCGGCTTTTGATCTCATTAAACCATCTTGGGCTTTCTCAAGCGTGGAGCAGGTCCGATGAACACAGCAGCCCTCTTGCTTAACGGAGGGTTAGAGATTTGCGCGTTGAGGGGTGGGAGGGGGTCTCCTGGATTTAAGATGGATCTCATCCGTGGAAGAGCCAGAACGGGAATGGCCCTTTAACAACCTGTGGACTTCAACACGCTTGGCTTGGGAATTCTGGGAGCCGAAATCCACAGGTCTTCAAGTTGCCAAGGTGTAGAGCAAGGGTCTTCAGACTTGGCAAGTTTAAGACTGGTGGGCTTCCAACTCCCAGAATTCCTGAGCTAACACGACTGGAGGAGGAATTCTGGGAGTTGAAGTCCCCAAGTCTTAAATGCTGTCAAGTTTGAAGACCCCTGGAATAGATAGATAGAGAAAGAGAGGTAGGATAGAGAGAAAGATAGATAGAAGAAATAGATAGAAGAGATAGATAGAAGAGATAGATAGAATAGATAAAGAGGTAGAAGAGAGAGAATGGAAGAGAAGGGAATGGAATGGAATAGAATAGAATAGAATAGAATAGAATAGAATAGAATAGAATAGAATAGAATAGAATAGAATAGAATAGAATAGAATAGACAGATAGATAGACAGCAGATCAAGGGTCTTTAAACTTGGCAAATTTAAGACTGGTGGACTTCAACTCACAGAATTCCTGAGCTAACATGACTGGAGGAGGAATTCTGGGAGTTGAAGTCTACAAGTCTTAAATGCTGTCAAGTTTGAAGACCCCTGAAATAGATAGATAGAGAAAGAGAGGTAGGATAGAGAGAAAGAGAGATAGATAGAAGAGATAGATAGATAGATAGATAGATAGATAGATAGATAGATAGATAGA